TGAAGCTCTGCTCCATTGGCTGATTTGTAAACTCATAGGCAAAGTTCAGGGAGGCTGCCAGACCAGAGGAATAAGCCCCACCCACCAACTCCCCCAATAGAAGCCCACCACCCTCACACAACTAATGAATAAAAGAATGTTGCACAAAGGCTTTCAACAGTCCCCTGGGTGTGTGTTTGTGTGTGCCCATTTTCAGAAAGTCATTAGGGTTGGCGCATGCAGACAAAAAAAGCAATTAAAGGCCTTATAAACACAACCGCAGAAAGAGTGAAAAAAAAAAAGTGTTGCCCACTTAAGCCGCAGTCTAAAATGTGTGAAGCAAAACCCACGACTTCTTAAATACACTTGAATGAAAAAAAATATTGAAAAAATACAGTACAGCGTAGTTAACACCAGTGATTGATTGTATGCATACAAAATACAGCACTCATTATTTCCCATGCAAGTCCTGACACATGTCATCACACTTGTCAGGATACACCACTGTCTTATTTCCCAGAGTCAAACATGGATGTGTAAAGAGAACTGGATACATGCGGCGCCCCATTAATTCCTATGAGAGTTGGCACATGAAGCCAAAATGGCTTCTCGAATACAACAAATCCTGGATCTCCCGGCAATCTTCCAAATAAATGGGGGCCATTTAGTAAGCAAGTTGTGTTTGCCTTCCACTTCGTCCCGGCTTCCTCATCTCAGTCAAATGAATGCAGAGGGAAAATAACTTTGTGGGTTTTTCCTTTTAGCACATTTTAGAACTTTAAGGCCCTAATTAATTAAATAAGGGCTATAAGACTGTTCGTCGTGTCAAGTTGAAAAAATATTCTCTTATTTACAGACTTGTCTTTCTGGGCCAAATTAACATCACAGACTGACACAGAAGTTGTAGTAGCACCGTTTGGCCACTATGAATATTTGCTTTTACGCCCCGTCTCACTTACTGGGGGCTTGGAGTCAACACATTGAATACCAATTCCAAAAAACACTCCACAACATGTTTGATGTGTTTCTCAATTGAGAGCTTTTGTTGAGTATATAAATCATACCTGTATTTAAGTACATCATTCTTTAATACCAATCACAGAACACAAAACTGAAAATCGACAATACATACGTTCTTTATTTAGGCCACCCATCGGATAGAGCTTTGGTGTTCTGCTTTTTATATCAGATATGCCATTTTGTCTAAAACCTCAGTCATTGTACATTGGCTGCCTCTTTTTAATGTCTTGAGTTTTGTCTGATGGAAAGATGAAACACATAAACTCCAGTATAGCTCAGACACTTTCCTGGGAAATGGGGAGCTTATCCAAAGCAGTAACAGTGGAAGTCAGGAACTGTTGCCAGGATGAATCACAGCATGATGTGATGGACTAACAATTGTAACAAGACCGGCCGACAGAAGAGAAAACTGGTAGTACAACAATCCACACACAGTCAACCTAAAATCGTAAAATCAATTAAGCAAAAACTACACATTTTTGTATTATCAGGTGTAACATGTTACATTTAAGTGGTATTTCACAAGGTAAAGCTAAACCTGCGCATGATGAAAGTCCAGTTACTTTGTAATATAACATTTCAAATTACACAGTATGTGCCGTCATTTGGCTTGATCTTGTAGAACTGAATATTGAATAAGATAATATCTTGAACATTATCTCAGCCATATGTTGTGGACAGCTGTGTTGGGTCACAGCTTTTTGGAATCTATCCCTAAAATGAGGACATTTTGAGAAAAACAAGGCTAAGCTTTTAATTCAAGTTGGAAGAAAGAAAGGAGCGCTCAAAAGTCTCTGTAAGGCAAACTGTAGTAAAAATATCATTCCTACTTATTATGCTGTTTTAAATAATTAAAAAGTGAATTGGGGCTTTTTATTGGAATTTGAATCAAAAGAACGAATGGTAATGAAATATCTGATGTAGTGAAAGCAACCACAAACATATTACGGTAAGGATCACAATTTGCTGGCAAAGTAAAGTAATGGCTCAACTGAGGTGCTCCACTCACACTGGTTCCCATTTGTCCTTATTGAGGCTGAAACATAAGCACTGCCATCCAATTATTTGTAAAAGAAGGCCTGGGGTCACAGGTCACAGCTATTTATTACTGAATCAAAAGGGATCCCAGTGTGTTTTCAGATGCATCCAGGAAGTCTGTTACACATTCCCACACTAACCCGCCTTGTTTAGACTTAGGGGTCCTGAGGTGAAAGTCACCACAAACTCCTGGACAAGAAGCGTCCTCATATTTTACTGCCACAGAAATCTGGATTATCAAGACATATAGAGAGTCTCAAAGCTGCCCTAGGCAAGTATTTATAGTTAAAGGGAAAGGAAGAAAGCTGAAATGTAGTAAGCACTCATGGTAACACTGTATGGGCTCTGGTAGTGTTTAAAGACGTGTAAGTGGAAAATAAAAATGTGAACAGACTTGGACAGTTTTGAACCCTCAGTCAATGCTGCAGTCATTTCACGCCTCTGTCCAAAAGTCCCACTTCACCCTTGTATGGTGTTCGGGTCTGTGGGACCGGTTTTCATTATTTATCTAAAGAAAAATGATATCATCAATTATTTTTTCAATCTCACACTCAATGGCCTTAGCTAATTTTCTGTGAAGAACATATATCAGAACACATTTTCAATGACCACCCACTGTACACCCCCCCTACACATGTATATTACATACAGGATGTTCGGGTCCACTGGACCCGGGGCTAACAAAAGTGTGGAAATTGTGTGTGTTTGTTAGTGTGTGTGCGTGCGTTACAGACAAGGTTGCAACATTGTTGATAAATTCAAGCACTGACACCTGTCTGCTCTCACATTCCTGCATTATGTCTTTAATTCATTAATGTGATCTAACAAATGTAAAAGGGCAAATATTAACCATATAATGCTGTTTATATTGCTTGTAATTGGGATGAAGTAAACATCTGTTGAGTATTTTAACATAAAATAGTTTGATTGTGTTGAATTGAAACCCAAAAAGCCAGCGGGTCCATCAGACCCACGAACACTGGCTGAATAACAAAAATATGAACACCACACAAGGGTTAATGAAGATGTTAGGCTTCTGGATTGCCAGTTGCTGGAATATAAGTGCTGGGATACTAGCCATTGGCTGGCTGTATAAGAAGTGTCCAAGAGTGTGCATGTCCATGAAAACAGACACCCAACAATAAAAACAAAGCTGCATGTTCAACTACTGTCCACCCTGCTGTCCATAACTGTGCATGGTGGGACCCACTTTCACATGGTGCATTCCAAAGTGCACCCTAGACATGACCTCTTTGGCCTCCTGACTCTTGAAAGGGTGAGTAGGGGATTGGGGTGGGGTCTCTCCACTTTACCTCACTGTATCAGATTTATTTCACTTCCACAGGTGGGGGGGACACATGCTCATTCTTCTCACAGGAAGTTGCAAACCTTTATGAGAACCAATAGTGTTCACCAAAAGTCATTGAGAGTGACCTGACATCGAGGCACAGTCAGTTTACCCAGGAGATTGTCACTTTTATATTGTGCTACATGGATGTGCACAATACGAAATATTGAAACCATTGCGTCCACGGCACAGATCACCCGCAGAGGGCGTGGTTAGGCCACTGCAGGGTTTCGGCCCTGGCAGCTCGGGTTACTGAAACACTCGGAGAATCTGAGGCGTGGGGTGAAGCCCCTCAGTAATACTGCACCCTTTGTGTCCCTTCCTCAAGCCCTCAAGCAGGTGGAACAGCTGAGCAGAGCGCAGACGAGAGCAACTGCTGCCTCACCACCATCATTAGATCATTTCAGAAATCCACTCTCGGGGACAACAGTGCAGTACAGTGTCAAATATGGCTTTGCCAAGATGAGACAAAAAGAAATCTGCCATATATATATGATATCACCACCATAAATGTATAACCTTTGATTGCCAAGGACTTTTTGTTAATTTTTAAACACCCAGCTCAAACTGCTTTGACTCAAAATGCGCTTTCCATACATATTTTATACAGTCTGCATTTCTGTAACTTAAAACCAGTAGAGATAAGCTGGCCGAAGTATTGCATGTCTGATCAGGTCGGTAGGGTCCTGTTGGATGACCGTGGGACTTTTTCTTTTCGACATGTCTTATACCAGCTCTATGTCATTGGGACTGTGAAATTACAGCCTTTGGGTCTGTTGTTTTACATCATTATGCCCAAACACACCTGTCCCTATGACTTAAATTAGGAACAAGACCTAGATGTGCCTGGAACACCTCCACAGGGAAGCGCCCAGGTGGCATCCTTACCAGGTTCCTCAACCACCTGAAATGGATCAATTCCTAAGCAAAGGAGCAGCGGTTCTACTCCAAGTCCCTCCTGTGTGACTGAACTTCTCACCATATCACTGAGGGAGATGCCAGCCACCCTCTGGAGAAAACCCCTTTTGGCCGCTTGTATCCGCAAATCTTCATGACTCATCCTTCCTGACCATTGGTGAGGGTAGGAACGAAGATGGACCGGTATATTGAGAGCTTTGTCTGAAAAAAACGTAAAACAGTCAAATGCATAATTCCTCTACTACTCTATAGCACCATACAGGTAAAACAACCACTAGTTCAACCCTGGCTGGAAGCTCCTACAACGCCGATATGCTACAATATGGCATGCTAGCCCTTGCTCTGCCTACAACCCCTCCCATGTTGCACTGGTATGCCAACAGCTGCCCAACCATGACACTGCACACACAGGCCCCTGTTGACCTGCCAGCCTAGGGGACATTTAAACTTTAAAGGGCCAAACTGGGCAGCTGGATGTGTCCATTCTGCGTAGGAGTGTGTGTGTGCTGCATTCTCTAGCTCATCCACTCACTTTTAGACTCACCGGTCACAGACAATAAGGACTAAAGGACCTTCTTTCCATCACATTTCTTTTTATACTTTCAGTAATTCTTTATAAAAAAGTATTTCAAAGACAAAGGAACATCTGCAGCCCAGAAGATAATTATTTTTGAGTTGTGTTTGCTGTCCCTTCACAATGGGTTCATTTATTGCCAAGATGCTTCTTCCGACAGTCAGCAGCCTGGTGTTTCTGCCTACAGCCAGCGTGGCCGCCAAGAGGGGCTTCCACATGGAGGCCATGGTCTACTTCTTCACGATGTTCTTCACTGCGGTAGGCTTATGGTTCTGTTTTCATGACAGACTGAATTTGTGTGGATTGTGTTTCTTTAATTGTGGTGTTTATACTTTATTTTATATCCATGTTTTTTAGAGTTCATTTTCGGTAAAATAGATCAAGTATACAATATGGTAATCCATATTCTACCTAGTCACTCATTTAATCTATTAAGGCTTTGCTTGCAACAACTTTAAGTGACAAAATGTAGAAATGACCTCATATTTAATGAAACTCAGATATTAATTTAATCGCTATATAAATAAACTATTTGCTATTTAGTTTAGTAAATAAAAATATGTTGGCATTGCTAATTGCTTATAGAAAGGAAAGTAGAGAGAAGATTTTCTAGATTTAGGACACAATAAATTAAATTGAATTGCGATTGGTACCGAGTTGTATACAGACTAAGGTTGTTCATTGATTTGTAACTTATTTAACTAACCATTAACCTCCTTGTATAATTATTTTTAAATTTCAAATAATTGTATGGGTGTTCTATGACCATATAAAAATAGAAATGAAAAAGCTGTTTGACATTTAATTAACAAAGTTGTTGCCCCTGTGTAGTCAATAACATTGAAATATTCATTCAAGTTTCCAAAGTAAAATGCAATATTAACAATGTTCCCTCATTTTCTATTTATGCAAGAAAAATATAAGGAAAAATTAATGTGCCCTTTTAAATGGTGCATTTTTTTAATGTTATAATAAAAATACATATGTTTAATGCTATTGTGGTATATCATTGTAATTTTCAAGTTTATAATATCATTTTAATAAAGTCACTTATGGGCTTCCATACCCTCTTTCTGTTTAACTTGTATGTCTCTCTGTAGATCTACCATGCATGTGATGGACCAGGCCTCTCCATCCTGTGTTTCATGAGATACGATGTTCTGGAGTATTTCAGTGTTTACAGCACCGCTCTTTCCATGTGGGTCACACTGATAGGTAAGTCTTTGTTAACAGTATTTTATTATCTTTTCTACATGGATTTTCCTGAAACGATGTTGAAAATTATGACATGACCTTGAGAAAGATACTTTTCAAAAGACCAGAAGTCTTCCATTCCACAACTTTTAGTTTCTTTCTTAAAGAAGAACTGTTTGTTGTGTAAATTTAAGCAAGCAATAAGAACATGTTACACCCCTCAAAAAACTGAAAACAAAAGTCAATTCTCGTCAACTACACTTCCCAGGCACAAGGTTAAAAACAAGCAGCTCTGCCCGCAGCAGTTGTTGATAACACATGTTATGTCTTTGAGTTCAGCTCACATGTGCTCATACTCACTTGCTTTCACTCTCATATTTTCACACACACAAACAGACACACTCAGACACATACACACACACACATACACACACAAATACGCCCCTGTGGTTTTTGTAACAAGCCCTTTAAATCCTATGCTGTGAAAAGCCAAATTGGACAGCTGACTTTTTCATTCTAGACTAATAGTAATGGTATTGTTTATCACATTTAAAAATGGCTTTTACAGTTTTAAAGAATGAAATGCTCATTAGATGGACCAGCTCATGAATGTGCTTGGGCCTATTTATGCTAGACCTGTTCTGAATTTTGGTGCGTTGATACGGATTCATTTGCAAGTGCATTACTGCCTGGCAGGTCACCATCCAGCATTTGGCTGTACTAAATATATATTTGTGTAAATTCCTCATGGAGAATACCAAAATGAGGCGGAGGGACATCAGTCCACCAGCTAGGCTAATTACAGTATGTCTCATTTGAAAATAAGCTAGTTGTGGTCACATTGGTATTCGTGAAGTAAATTAATATCGTAAATACTCTAATCGCCGAAGCGCACTCTGGACTCTGAGTAGTGTTGGACATTTCCATTTGGTTATTCAGAGATGTGTGGAAGTAACTTTTTTGCCATACTATTTATTAAAACGTTTAGCTAGCTAACAAGCTTACTTTTTTTCTAAATCCCTAAGTTAGCTATAGTCTATACTTTAAAAAAAAATGTATGTCTGTATGTATAGGTATGTTAAAGGCTGGTGTTCATACGAAAATGTAATTGCTCCAGAGTTCACTCGACAGCGGGCCACCCTTTCACATGTCTCTAACATGCAGTATGTGTCTCCTTGTCCCAGCTCTGGGTGACTTTGATGAACCCCAGCGCTCCAGCGTTACTATGTTTGGAGTCTTGACAACCGCTGTGAGGATCTATCAGGATCGCTGGGGATATGGGATCTACTCTGGACCCATTGGATCTGCTGTCTTTATCATCACTGTGAAATGGGTGAGTAGCTTTAGATTAACAGGGCATTTTTCATACATTATGATCCAATAAATTCTCTGTCCTATCCACCATTTTCTTCCCCTTTCTCCATTTCCTTCTTTTCTTACATATCCACCATCTTCATTGACCTAGAACAACTTTTTCTTGTGTCCTATCTTTCTTGACTTCTTCTCTTAAATTATTTTCTTTGTACTTTCCCAATTCCATCTTGTCCTTTTACTTTCCGTTTTTTCCACCCTTCTCTACTTATCTTCTTCTTCCTTTGCAGCTTGTCTTTGCTCTTACTGTCAACTCGAATTCCTTGTCATTCTAATCTGTAGCTAACATTATTCTGAACTCCTGGTGTTTCAGCTACAGAAAATGAAGCAGTTGAGGGCTGTGTATCCGGAAAAGTCTGTGTATACACAGCAGGTCGGCCCTGGATGCTGCTTTGGTGCTCTTGCTCTGATGCTGCGTTTCTACTTTGAGGTGACTTTTGTCATTAAATAACAATCCTAACCCATTAAAAAAAAGTACAATTATACGATGAATTGACACCTATTTACATTGTTAACAGGATTTAGGGACAGCCCTTTGTTTCCGATGGACCATAATTCCAAAACACCAATGATCTGAAACATGTCCTATTGGAACAAAAGCCCATTTATCCAACAGTCTGTAACCCAGAAAATTAACACCCATTGTTCCAAAGGCCCATTGATCAGGTGCATGGTTCATTATTTTATAAAATATTTGACATAAACAATGTTTTGTTCCTACTATGGCATAACCCACACTTCCCTGCCTCTGATTGGCTAGTTTTTCATTAATAAGTGGAGTATTTACTGGCGTATTCTATGTCATAGAAACGTGCCAATCTCTTCAGGTTATGTTAACCACAGACCTTATTTCAGGCTTCTAATCACAAGCACATTCAAAAAAACTTTGAGACGAGGGATCTGAAGGGGCAAAATGGGAAACGCTTTTCCGGGTTTTAGGACTTAGTACTGCACCATTCAATTGATAGAGCTTTTCGGCTTAGACATATGTAATCTAATTGGTTATGATGATGGTAAACATTTCAGGGAAATCCAATCAAAGACAGCGTAGATCAAGATATGCCTTTACCCCATTCTGCATAATAATTAGCTTTGTGTTTCCGTTTGTTTCACGGAAAGTGTAATAATGGTGCATTTCGGGTAACAGTCTCTTGGACCAAAGGGAACTTTTTTCGGGACTGTTGGGCTTTCAGAATAATGGGCTGTGAGAACATTGGCTAGGCAGTTAACCATCACATTTTTTTAAATGTCTACTTAAAATGTCAGAAGTTGCCTATATGCAGTTGTATCTTTTGTTAAAATATGTTGTGTTTTTGTGTTACATTTAAGAGGCCATCAGACAGAAAAAATGTACGCATTAATAAAATAAATGACCCTGAATAATATGGGCTTTATTCACTTCACTGCAGGAGTGGGACTACGCCTATGTCCACAGCTTCTACCATCTGTCTTTGGCTGTGTCCTTCATACTGCTGCTGCCAAAGAAGAACCGCTTCGCAGGAACAGGACGAAATGCTGCCAAACTCAGCTGCTTTGCTCTTTGCTGCTGCGTATGTTATATTTATTTATTATAAATACTAGAGGATTGATAGGACTAACACAGTAGGTTGTTTGAACTACATAGAAAGTAAAAGGTAATATCAACTGACCCTCTAACAACAGAGCATCATTTATGTCAGTCAAGCTCAGATATCATTTATGTTACCCTAATCTTGCTTCCTACTTGTTCCCTCTCCAGTCCGTAACCCCTGGAACCACTAAAGAGAAGAAGGACAAGACGAAGGACAAGACGAAGAAGAAGTCTTCTCGGACCGTGTGGACAGTCCCCACTGAGAAGCTGTGGACAGGACGCTGTAGCACCCCCATCTTGCCTCTTTACAACCCGCCACCCTCAACACCTGTCAAAGGGACCAGCATCAGCAAGCTCAAAGAGATGAACGGCTGGAAGTGAAACCAAAACACATAGCAGTCTAACATAGGAGGACTTAAACCTGAAGAGCAGGCGATAGATAATGGTTGGCTATGAGCGGGAAACAGGAAAAACACCAAATACCTTTCAGACAAATTCTGATAAACTTGTATGTGGCTGGTAAGTTAATCTTCTTGAGCAGGAAACCAACCATCATGTGGACGTTCCTTTCTATTTTGCTGGTAGAATATTTAAGGTCAGAAGTGACTTCAGGCATCAACCAGCCACTGTAGCTAGCAGATAGTAAAGCATAAGTAACCTGAGGTAGTTATATAAACTTCATAGGCAGGAACAAAAAGGCCTCTGGTGCCCTCAAACTCCAGATAAGAACCGAGCTCTCTGAAGCACTTGTCCAGAGCTGAAGACAGGCAGCGCGCTATGAAAGAACACACACAGCAAGAACAGGGAGACGGTGGCTCAGACAAGCCAGTAAAACTGACTGGAAGATTTATGAGAAGAAGAAACAGGCAGATGGTTTATCTCTCCAAAATATATAAATTGTCTTTAGAAATGTTCCTCAGGGGAGACCTTTCGTCTGCTCGCCTGTGTCTGTCCGTCTCCCCCTCCTCTTTCTCTTTCCCTTTCCCGTGTCTCTGATGGAAAGGAAGCACGCGGCTGAATTTGTTTATGAGAATTACAAGACTGTAAAGCACATTTGAGCGTTTTTATACGTCCTTGAGGTGCCAAATGTGTCATGTGGAGCATCAGACGTTGTAGGGAGGGGAAGCAGCGGCCCAGATGTCAGTCTGTAACCCGACTGAAGCCTCTTGATGTGTTTCTGGATCAGCAGGTGAACTACTCTGTCTGCTCACTCGGGTTCACTGACCGCTCAGCTTTGGTCATGACCTATGTCCCCATTGTGCACTGTTTGTACTTTGTAATACTTTTTTCAATATATTGTTATTTATTGCAGAAGATTGTATCTTCAATATAGTGTTTTTGATCATTTTGTAATATATATATAAAATAAAGTGAAATGTTATGACCCTGTTTTTAAAAGGTCTTTAGGGACAGGAAGACATTTTGACAACCTCAACCATCCGAGCCATCATTATAACGCAGCGATATGTACTTTGCAGAAGGCCAGAAAACCCTGACTGGCACATACTTCAAGGCTCAATCCAGTCTAGCAACACTTATCCAATTCCATACTTGCATATCTCGTTCCACTTTCACTTCAGGATGACATGGAGTTGTGTGTCCACACACGTCACCTGCCGCAAACACTACCCAAAGGCTACAAACGTGTTCTGCGTCTCTAAGAAAAAACAGTCCCCACCCACAACTCGGATGAAACTCCCATCCACCAGGGACATTTTTTGAGCCGTGGCCAAGCCGTCAGCTTCTGTGCCCAGAGAAAGGTGTTTTTGTCTGGGCTCCGAAACTTGGCTGGCTGGGCCATCTGCACCACCCGGCTGGATGCCTCAGCCCTGACAGAACAGTAACCTGAGCCTTTTATTGCACAAGTGTTAAACACTTTTCAGCTCCTTTATGACCAATGTCTATCCCGCACCACTCTGCTGAGGGGCTGAAGCCCACACACATTTAGGACTGTATTACTATACTTGTGAAGACTTTCTTCTGTCTGTAATCCCTGACTTTCACTGTACACTCACTAAAATCTTCAACCATTTGAATCCTTATCTTGACCGTAAATTGAAACATTGACCTAAAAGCGTTTTTAAGGAAATGCTTAGGGTTACTAGGATCAACTGATTATTACGACCTACGGTCCTCATAAGAACATAATCACAAACACACGCACACATACAAATGTCTGAGGGTCTGAACCCAGGCTTGTCTGCTGCAGGTTGTATGGGGCATGGACAGTGTCAACACATTAAGCGTTGATTGACATGAGTTTTAGCATGGTCGTCTCGTTCGTGGTCGTCTGCACCCACATTCCCCGGCGGCGTGGAATTTCAGAGGGAAATTGGGATATAATAAAGAAATATATCTGAACCAGTGGCGTTTTTATATGTACAAAAGTGGTGGTGCACGAACAACTTAGATGTGTATATATAAGCTTCTTGTGCTTTTTTAAACACGTAAACAAATAGCTGTGGCTATCCCTGGTTCCGATAGAGAGAGAGAGAGAGAGGGGGGGAGGGAATAAGGAAAACACAGACACTCATCACCGAGGTCACAATATAAATCGATCCAGCAGAGCAATAGCCTATAGGCTAAACACAGAAGATCAACAAAAGATATGACATAAAATGAACTTACCGAAGCTGAAGTAGATGGTCAACTTCATTCATTTTCTTTCCGTTGTACTGATTTTATTCGCTATAAACTGCTCTCTCTCGTCTCCTCTTCACAACTACACTTTTCGCAGCACACGTACTTTACAGCCAATCAGCTCTCTGAATTATGAGATGACGTTTGGTGGGGTTGCCAGCACTTTTCCCCATGGTGATTATTTTTTTGCCGCACACATTGAATAGAAAAATTATCTGAGCATGCGCAGTGTCGTTTTTACAGCACCCATTCATTTTGAAAGCAGAGAGAGGGGCTTGCACCACATTAATCAACATGGCTCAATAGGCACACTGTGGACACTATACACACCAAAGTGCGTGGCGTGCATGAAGTGACTGCAACAAACACTACTATGATCGGTATGTTTGTGCTTTTAGCTACCGTATGCGGTGCAAGGTCGGTGTCATGGGGGGTCATTCGCGGGCCATGCCCCCCCAAATTAGTCACTGTGCCCCCCCAACACACGGCGGGCAAGCCTTGCCACTGTGCCGTTATTTTTTTTAGCTATGCTAACGGATATAAAGAGCTGTTTCTACACCAAGGTGGAGGAGAGTCCTCTCCTGTCAGACTGAGAGGATCTTATAACGTCAGCTCAGTGAGGTAAAGGACTCTCTCAGTGTTTAGATACTTCAATATTTAAAAATCTTCCCGGGGGAGCATGCCCCCAGACCCTCCTAGGAGGTTAGGTCCATCCCCACCTAAAACATGTTCACATGGATAGGATACTAAATACATTAGCACACTTTTTATATGGTGGCCTATGTCCATATGTTTCTGTTTTGGTGGTCGTGCCACAACCGTGCATGTCTGCACAAGTCATAGGTGCGCTATAAAATAGCACTACACCCCTGCAATGTGTGTGAAAGACAATAGACTTTACAGCATGTTTTTTAAATTGAAGTTGCGTTGGTGTTTGTGTGTTGGTTGTTTGTTGTCGGCAAATCGGCAGTGTGTGCCCCCCCCGTGGTAAATGATTGCCCCCCCGGCAATCATTTACCACGGGGGGCACACACTGCCGATTTGTCGATTTGTTCTAGAGCCGACCCTGATGCGGTGTGAATTATTTTGGTTAGAAAGCAGCAAATGTACAACAGGTCCTTTCTCTAGGTTCAACTCAATGCCCCTCCTCGACTCCTCTCTTCCCCTCCTCCGGGACTTGACCCGGAAATTGATCAAGACACGCTATGTTGAAGGACGTCCCAATCGCTAAAATGCACACGGAGGAGTCGAGGAGGGGTGAGGGAGGAGGCTTCCAGAGGAGACGAAAGGGAGGGTACACGAGAGCAGACTATGCGGAAGTGTTTTCACTACTCGCGTATAAAAGCCCCGCCCCCACCTTCAAAGCCTCTGCTCACTGCAGCTGATCCTACCGTTAAAGGAGGATCAGAGTCATTAAATGTTTAAAGTGCTTCATTAAGAGTAAAATATATTAAATATCTTAAACGAATGAGGAGATCATACTCTATAAAAACATTAAAATGTGTGAAATATACTTACAAATTCAATAATAATGTTTTGATTATAAAATAATAACTTAGCCTACAGTTCTTACTTGTGGTTTTTGATGCATGTGTGGTAGACCCACAGAACGTCAAACATTTAGGATATATACAAATACGGGTAGCATAAATAATACATATTTTAGTGATTTGTGTCTCTTCTGTTGGACAAATTAAATAACAACATCCAATACAAAAGTTGATCTGAAACAACAAGCTCAAATACCATAATGAAATGAATCCATCAATTATTATTATTGTTATGATTATAATTATAGCTTAAATGAAATGTTATAGCTGGAAAAACAAATACAGGACCGAAAATAATACATAGAAAACTATAATAAAAGAGATGAATGGAAGAGATGGACAAAATCATTTCAATGAGAAACTACATCCCAGGTTTGAAGGGATTTGTGTGGAGGGAAGTCCAGTGACAGGGGATAAAACTGCGCGCACCATAAGTAAAAGGCATTGTTTATGGTGACACTTGAGTGAACGAGAACATCCCAATTAATACGTGAGGACTCCTCTGTCCTTGCGTCTTACGGAGGCAGAGCTAAAATGCAAGGAAGGGACGTGACTGAGGGAAAGGAGGAGGTGAAATATTTAATTGAGTTGAGCCTTGTGTCTACACGTGATGCGCAGGCATCTGGCATAGTATTGAATGTTGGAGTTTTGGCAGGACTCAATACAAACCTAGTGGATATGTGTAAATCTCTGACATTATGGAGTTAAATATCAACTGTCAATCACCCCAGATGGGACTCGCACCCACAATCCCTGGCTTAGGAGGCCAGTGCCTTATCCATTAGGCCACTGTGGCT